CCCCAAAACCCCAAAACCCCAAAACCCCAAAACCCCAGTTGGAAAATCTTTCTTGAAACCTATTAGCTATGGAGGTTGTAAAAATTTGGGCCTAACTTGAGGTCATGCTGGCTCTTGACATGAGAAGAAGTGTGGAAAGTCTTCATCTCCTTCCGGCTACCAGATGAGATTTTTGCCAAGACAATCGTGATATCATCTATGACTGTATCTTCTTTTTTCCAGTGAGCAACACTCTTTTTAACTACTTCGTTGATGCCTATAAATTTTTTGAATATGAAAATTTCATGGACTTACCTTCAACTTCTTTATTACTCTCAAGATAAGGAATTAGGATATTCATAACATCTTTGTTACTCAAGAATTCCCAGACACCATCACTTGCTAAGACGATGGCTCTATCTTCTTTGGTCAACTTGTGCTCTCTGAATTCTGGACTTTGTACTACTCCTGCTCTGCAGGCTCAGAGGTCTCCGAAGGACCTGCTCATGGCAAGGCCAGGAAGGTTTTCAGATTTGAGCCAGACTCTTTTAGGGCCATAATCCTCTCCGAATTCATCTTTGTATGCTTCGACTCTTCCGCCATATTTAAGAATTCTTTCATATTCGCTAGGATCTTCAGGCTTATGGTCTCTTGAGAGTGCAGTGAAGCTCCATTCTCCTTTAGATTCACTGAGAAGGATTGCTCTGGAATCTCCAATATTTGCACAGGTAAGGACACCATTTGGACTGATGATACAAGCCACTGCCGTTGTGCCTGAAAACTCGATGTCAAATTTCTGCTTCTTCAAGTCGGAATGGGTATGATAAAAACTTTGTTCAATGATTCCCCTATTTTTCAGCCCCTTCCTTCCCCACAGAATCAAAGATGTTTCCTAATTCTTGAGTCTCTTCAGAAGTATTGGGAGCACTGGACCTCCGACTGTTGAAAGCCTGGATGATTCTTCCTCCATTCCCTTTGCCTTGCTTTACTTTGTCAATATAGCTATGGGTTTGATCAGAAACTTTGCTTCGAATGTTTTTAGGTAGCTTCTTTTTGATATATTTCGACACTTTGTGGCCATTGTAGCCATGCCCGTCAAAGACTCCAAGGAAGTATTGCCCAGGAACTCCACAGAATGACTTAACAGTCATGTAAGCATCCTGATTAGTCTTAGCCTGGAACCCAGTTTCAGGCCCGATTGGTATAAAACCAGTTCTAGATTTTTCGAAAACGGAGCAGATTTTTATACTTTCTTTTTCTTGATACTCCTGTACAATATTGTTAGGGTCTATCACAGCTCCTTTGAAAGGCTTGATCTCAGGGACTGCAGCCACTGGGACTCTGTCCTTGGACTCTTCTGTGGTAGATTTCTCAGTACGTCTCTTTTCCATATGGTGAGTTGCATTAAATCTTTTGGCTTTATATGAGCTAGGTCCCTCTGTTTCCCTCTTTTGAGAGTTTTCGCTTTTAAAAATATCATCAATAGCTGAGGATTTCAGATTGATTTTCTTCGCAAAAGGGGTACTCCAAGAGCTCTTTGGGCTATTTTTCTTCTTAAAATTCTCCCTAGTGACTACAAAAATTAATGAGAAATGAATAGAGGTGTAACTTACGGGATTTTGTATGACTTGTAGTCCAGTAAGTGCTGTCTCCAGTAGCCTGACTCTCTCCTACAAATCTCTTAGGCTTCTTCTTGCCTAGTACAAAGTTAATTTTTCCCGTCTCAATTCTCCTCTTTGGGACTCTAAAAATAAACTAGAAGGAGTTACTGTAGCTTCCTCTCTGAAACTTTATGAAACATTTGGAAGTTGTGCAGATTATCATGGATATTTTCCCTCGGCTTGATAGGCCGATTTGGTGAATTCTGCCTAGTCCTGTACCTATAAAGATCACCAAGAGGGCCTGTACTTGGTGAAATGGCCTCCATATTTAGAGTTAACCACCTTGGAATCGTTACTATTGCCTCTTTTGTAGAAGAAACTATACCATGTTTTAAGAATACGTCAAGAATATAAGAATTTATGAAAGTTATAAATGTGCACAACAGTCATAGCATAGGAAATGATGCAGTTGAATAGGCTTACTTCTTCTTACTCCGTGATAGAGAGTACTGATAGCTTTTGAAGGCATCCTTGATCGCCTATAATTTCTCTTCCCACCAAACCTTGAATATTGACAGGGGTATCAAAGTTATAACAATTATTTTAGAATAGGATTTTGATAAAACCTAATTTTTCAATATCTAGCTAAGATTTAACCGGAGAATATTAGAATTCGGTTGTTTTTAGGAAAATTGCCAAGTAAAACAAACCAAAAGTTCTTCTAATTGAGACTTACCCTGTCATTAACATCAATGGAACGCATAATTGCAATCTAGAAATTATATATCTCAATAATATTGAATTTATTGGGGTTTTGGGGTTTTGGGGTTTTGGGGTTTTGGGG